AAGAGTATAGCTAGACGTATAACACAATATTTGTCTTTGTAGGGATGGTATGATGTAGTTTGTGCACTGATATTGTCACTCCATGTTTCATTTCTGTTTGTACTCAATGCTGTACGTCATCGTACACACGTGTTACATGCAAGCGCAAACAGGGAGCACCAGGGTCCTCCTGAATAGCCAGAGTATGAAGCTACAAAGAGTGATGTTGATTGAACAACCGAGACAAAAGTATTGTCTTCATATCTTTGAGCATTAGCTGGACTTTGCTTACACGAGGAAACTACAAAATATACACAAGAAACAAAAGTGTTACCTAGTTAGCATAATACAGGTGTGTTGCGTTAGCACAAAAATAACATTCTATTACGAATGGAATTTTGTCTGTAGCAAAGTTGTTCCCTGGATGGTTTGGAATATGTTTTTATGATTATTTGCGCTTGTGAAATAGACCATAATCTTCCCAGCAGCATATTAATGTTCTAACAAGACTCTAATTATCCTCGGTCCATCTTTCACAGGGTCCACTTTTGTCTCAGTGAGAGTTATATAAAGTCTTGACTAAAACTGTGCAATACTAGTGCAAAGGTCAAAAATACAGGGATGACATGAAGCACCACAAAAGAATGAAAAGAGTATAGATGTATAACACAATATTTGTCTTTGTAGGGATGGTATGATGTAGTTTGTGCACTGATATTGTCACTCCATGTTTCATTTCTTTTTGTACTCGATGCTGTACGTCATCGTACACACGTGTTACATGCAAGCGCAAACAGGGAGCACCAGGGTCCTCCTGAATAACCAGAGTATGAAGCTACAAAGAGTGATGTTGATTGAACAACGGAGACAAAAGTATTGTCTTCATATCTTTGAGCATTAGCTGGACTTTGCTTACACGAGGAAACTACAAAATATACACAAGAAACAAAAGTGTTACCTAGTTAGCATAATACAGGTGTGTTGCGTTAGCACAAAAATAACATTCTATTACGAAGGGAATTTTCAATTGAAGTACACAAAGCTTATATGCTTGGACATGTTCTACGTTTTAGTGTAGGTTTTATTATTCCACAGGCAAATGTTTTCAATAGCTATCTTTTTACCTAGTCTTCTAAAGGCATTTGCTGAAGCTGAAATCAATAGTTGTCCGAACTGGTTCTACTTTAGTAATGACACGCAGCAATGTGAATGTGCCACGTTTGAACCATGGGGCATCCGCTGCAGCCAGTCACAGATGAAGATTGAAGTTGCAGATGGTGAATGTGTGTCCTATGTGAACGACAAGTACTATTGTGGGAACTGCATCTATGCTCACTCGGGGAATTTTTTATAGGGAGCTTGCCCCCTTTCACAGAGTAGTATATAGAAATGAGTGGAGACAAGTAAATTAAAATCCTGCTAATAAAAAAAAGAGGCATATAGGGATGGTATAAAAAGAAAGGGAGACAAGATAGGGATGGGATTCTTGAAGCATGGTTAATGAACAGATTTGAGAACACTGACACCCCCAACCCCATCACACAATCCCTATATTGTTGCCTAGTTGAAGTATAACTTTCAATATTACAATATTCAGAACTTATATATAATACAAAAGTCATGCTACTGAGTAACCATGACCGTTATAGAGTCCAAGTGGAATTAAAGGGAATGTGGCAGTATAAATGTTACTAACTACAACCAGGGACACGGCGAAAGAATGCTTGCTTTAGCCCTTATATAATGCCACATTCCCTATAAGAGTAGCACACCAGGCAACAATGTAACCATGCTTCATGTATCCCATCCCTATCTTGTCTCCCTTTCCATCCCTCTTTTTTTTAAATTCACAGGATTTTTCATTTACTTGTGCAAGTAGAGAAGGTGGTGTGGTGAACAACTGTCTGTAGCAAAGTTGTTCCCTGGATGGTTTGGAATATGTTTTTATGACTACTTGTGCTTGTGAAATAGACCATAATCTTCCCAGCAGCATATTAATGCTCTAACAAGACTCTAATTATCCTCGGTCCATCTTTCACAGGGTCCACTTTTGTCTCAGTGAGAGTTATATAAAGTCTTGACTAAAACTGTGCAATACTAGTGCAAAGGTCAAAAATACAGGGATGACATGAAGCACCACAAAAGAATGAAAGAGTATAGCTAGACGTATAACACAATATTTGTCTTTGTAGGGATGGTATGATGTAGTTTGTGCACTGATATTGTCACTCCATGTTTCATTTCTGTTTGTACTCGATGCTGTACGTCATCGTACACACGTGTTACATGCAAGCGCAAACAGGGAGCACCAGGGTCCTCCTGAATAGCCAGAGTATGAAGCTACAAAGAGTGATGTTGATTGAACAACCGAGACAAAAGTATTGTCTTCATATCTTTGAGCATTAGCTGGACTTTGCTTTCACGAGGAAACTACAAAATATACACAAGAAACAAAAGTGTTACCTAGTTAGCATAATACAGGTGTGTTGCGTTAGCACAAAAATAACATTCTATTACGAAGGGAATTTTCAATTGAAGTACACAAAGCTTATATGCTTGGACATGTTCTACGTTTTAGTGTAGGTTTTATTATTCCACAAGGCAAATGTTTTCAATAGCTATCTTTTTACCTAGTCTTCTAAAGGCATTTGCTGAAGCTGAAATCGATAGTTGTCCCAACTGGTTCTACTTTAGTAATGACACGTAGCAGTGTGAATGTGCCATGTTTGAACCATGGGGCATCCGCTGCAGCCAGTCACAGATGAAGATTGAAGTTGCAGATGGTGAATGTGTGTCCTATGTGAACGACAAGTACTATTGTGGGAACTGCATCTATGCTCACTCGGGGAATTACACCGATAGAATATTCTCTGAGGCACCTCCTACTCCCGATGGACTGGATGAATACATGTGTGGTTACTACAACAGAAAGGGTTTGCTCTGTGGAAGGTGCATCGATGGATATGGTCCTGCAGTTTACTCACTGGAAATGAAATGTGCCGAATGTTCCAAGTTTACTGTGGCAACAGCTTTAATCTTGCACTTAACACTTGAGTTTATTCCCATCACACTGTTTTTCATTTTTGTACTGGTCACACGGCTCAACATTACAGCTGGACCACTGCTAGGGTATGTCATCTTCTGCCAGGCGTATGTGTTTGGTATTCAAACAAATGTGTACATAGCTTCACATATTCTATCACATTCATCGGGTCCCGCTAAGTTTTTGTTTGACAGTTCACTCGCCCTTTGCAAAGTATGGCTTTTACAATTTGCTTGGATATTTACTCCATCATTTTGTATCAGCAATGAATTCACTAACATTCACATAGAATTGCTTGGTTTGGTTCGCCCAATAATCCCTGTCATACTTTTGGTCACGATATGTATCTTGGCTGAATTACACAAAAGAGACTGGGCAATTGTAGTTTTTGCTTCGAAGTTCTTTCAAAGATGTCTTAAGAAAATTTCTCTGAAACCTGTAGACAGCAGTTCTGTCATTCATACACTGGCATCTTTCATGTTTTTGTTGTCATACAACTTAAATTTTGCTTTGGTCTCTTCTACTACTTATAACCCAGTGTATACAATGGATTGGTCAGAAGAGTACCGTGTGTTTTCCGATCCCACAGTCGTGTGGTTTGGCCAAGCTCATTTCATATACCTCTCAGTAGTGTTTGGTCTGCTTCCTATTCTGGTTCTCACTCCATCACTGATTCTGTTATTGTATCCTACAAAAATGTATCGCTTCTTTTCACAATGCATCAGTAATAGGAAACATCTGGCCATTACTGCGTTTGCTGAAGCTCTCCACAGTTGCTTTAAAGATGGTCTCAATGGTACAAAAGATTACAGAGCACTAGCTGGATTGAGCATGATTGATGGTTTTGTGTACCCTCTTTTTGCTTTTGGCACCTATAGACTGTTCTATGCACTATTCCCCATTGATCAGTACAGTCTCCCTGTCTTTTCTGGCATGATTCTCATCTTGGTGTCATTTTCACTTTCTTACTTGAGGCCTTGTAAGTCTGTAATGGCCAACATTTCACTCAGCTATCATGTTATGGTTCTGGGAATCCTTCATGTGGCACTCACCACCTGGAGAAATGATCTCTCAGTCAGTACTGCTACACTGGAAATTCTCTTTGTTGGCACTCCACTCATTTCCCACCTCCTTGTGATCGGGTGGGCGACAAAACTATTACTGCAAAAGATCATTTTGCATCTGGAAAATCGAGACATCGTAGTTTTTAGTATTTTGGATATTGCAAAGTTTGTTTCCTAGCTACCAGTGTGTATCCACTTTGAACAAATTAATTTCTTGGGCTTGTAAAAGCTACTAACTCGATCCGGAACTTCTGCAGGAGTTAGCAAGTTAGCAAAACTACCTGATGTTCTAGAAACGAACACAACTGCAGGTTTTCTGGTAGCTATGTATACTCTAGAATTAACCCAAAAGCAACCTAGTATAATTATTGCAATATGCTTTGCAGCTGATGCCATTCAAAATAGAGCACAGTGGGGGCTTACCTCACATGTGGGATTACTTGATAAATGATAATGCTGACATCTAATTCCCGCCAAGGCCCTTTCATTCTGGAAACGAGGCTGCCTGTAAGTGTGCTTGTTGAGCACTAACTAGCCTCAATATTGACCCTTTTGCACCTTGCTGTATAGAGTAGAAGTTCCTGTTTTTTGGACAGCAGGTCTCATATAGATCCATGCCTTATGCAATCAGATAGAGAGATCATCAGCAATTGCAATTTGAAGGAAGGGCACGAGCACCCAAATCCCAGTCAGGCTGCCGGAACCAGATACCCCCATGAACTGGTGTCAAACATATTTGACTCCTCCAGCATGCGAAATAACGCATGCGCGAAGGAAAAATATTTCGGGGCTCCGCGAAATTTTGTGACCGGACATCGACGAAACGCGAAAGTTTTCTCAGGCAAGTGGTTAAAAATCGTGCGTGTATGGGGGTCCACGTGGTCGGACCTGGGAGGTATTATCTATAATATATACCTTAGAGAGATCGAGAGTGATGGTCTCCTGGCTCTGGTGTGGTGGACTTCCAACCCGTGCCTGCCTGTGTCCTGCTTATGCATGTCGCCGCAGGTCCAGTTATGTTAGGAGTGAAGGTTAGTTGCTGGAGTTGCGTCAGGCACTCAACATCATATTGCACTGGCGCTTCTAGTGGTTTAGGACGAGAGGTCGTAGTACGCTGCGTGAGTACTTGATCCATCAACTTGACTTGAACCACTGTTGTAGGAAAGGATCGCTAATTGGTGTGAGGTTGAGGTTGAGGTTGAGGTTGTATACCTATGCATTGTAACCTACAATAGCAGCCTAAAAACCACGATGATAGTATACTTATTGGAGTAAATTTGTAAAAGACTACAAGTTTGTTAGGCATTTTGTTAACTACAGCAGTGTAAATTAGGGCATTCCTCCTGTTAATGGTGGCCTTTTGTGATTTGACAGCAAGTTTAGCCCAGGGGTGTCAACCTGGAAAATCTCTGGTGCCAAAGACATGGCGCCAGGGATGGCCTTGGCGCTACACCCAATTGCTTCAGTTCAAACAATGTAATACCATGTTCGCGCGTGCGCAAAGACGCGTAGGCAAGCTTTGGCGCGCTAGGGCCCGGCGCTTCATTTTCTCTGTCTGGCGCTTTAAAATTGTGCTTGGCACTGATTTTAGAGCCACAGCGCCAGATTAGGCTTGTTAGGCTGGATGATGAGTCACATAACCACACAATTTAGGAAGCCTCAGGCACTGTAGTAGCAACCACGTTGTGGTCGGAACACCACGGCCCCAGGGCCTCAGCCTCTTAGATGACATGTCATCTAACTATGATGTAGTTACTCTTCTGACAACTTGAGTATTGTGCTTTAGGATAGGCTGCGGTTAACTGTCGATTATAGCTATGTTTACTCACAGGAGACTGGTTGAGAATAGGCAAAACAAGAGTGAGGCTCTCTCACCCAAAGAGAAAAGAGCTGGTTCCTCAAAACTATGGTATGTTTTTGTTGTTATTTTGATGAGAGGGACTCAGGGTAAACACCCCTAGCGGCTCTCAGTCATATCTAACCCGCATTTTTGACAGAGCTATGATTATTGAACACCAGAAAGATGCCAAGTACAGAGTATTTCTTTTCTTCTGTATTTACATCATAACAGGAACTATCAGTTTGTTGTAAATACACAAAAACTTTGTGTTTTTACGTTTACTGCAGCATTTGTGAGTGGAATAGCCACCATATGTATTGTAATACATCCTGGAAATCCAAGTTCTTCTCTTTCCATGAAGCGAGCCTACATATTCCTTGTGTTGGAGGTAATATTATTGTACCCAAAATGTTATACCTCTTTACACCAAACCCACATACAGGCACTAACTGTTCCTATCCAAGGATTTCTGAACGCTCTGGCATATGGCTGGACACGTGGAGATTTTAGGAGTGTCATGTCATTACGCCACCTCAGCTCCCAGGCAGAGTCACCACATGAAGCTCAGGATTCCAGTCAGGGAGAAAATGAGAAAGAAGTCACGGACGAAGATATTTATGAGAGGAATGGAAGAAAGTAAAGCTAAGCTGTCAGGGAAGTCTTTCAGTACTTATCTCTTGAAACAAGAAGCCATGCAGGAACTTTCACGGTGGTGGGACATACTATTAGAGTGTAGACTGACTAGGATCCTACTTTTCCTTACATACTATTGGCAATGGCATAGAGACGAAATCGGTTTATTAAACGGTCAATTTTGTCCCTTGTCTCGTGTCTCTCATGTCATCTCAATATTCATGTGTCACACGTGTGCTTGCAGAACTACATAACTAGCAACCCTTTTTCAGACTGAGGTGCAAAAGCCTAAAGAAGCGAAATAATCAGACACAGAACTAAACTATTACACATCGACAACCAGGTCCCCAAAAAAAATCAAGGAGAAGAAGCCAGGAAACGAGGCTCCTTACCTCTCCTCCTCATTTTAACATGCTTCCTGCAAAAACATAATCCATGACAACATGTACGTATACGTTACTGAATATCATTCTGCTCGTAATACAGCCACATCTAATGGTAACTATGTGACAGGATGTTTTTCATAAGGTAGACTGGGTGATATGCCATAGAGTTGGTTATCTTCAGTATTCACTTTGGGTTCAGCACCTGGTCCTGGTGAAGATAATTATGCTTTGTTAATGATAGCTACCAGGTGAGCATTAGAAAGAGAAGGCGACACTTACCTGCTACAGAGACAGTGACATCACAACTGCAATTACAGCACCAGGCAGACCTCCTTTGGGAAGCTCCATGTGATGTGTCATTACCTTTTCAGTAAATCTTACTCTTACTGCTTACTGCAATGTATATACCAGCCAGTGTCCTCACAGTGACAGGATGACTGTAGACACCCACATCTCCCTGTTCATTGACGGCAGCTAGCGACTGCAATTGAGTGGTTGGTGGAGGGAGTGAGTCCTGTCAGTTCAGTCTCTGCTCCTGATCTGCAGTTTCCAGACACTTCTTTACTCCCTGCTACCAGTCCATGGCCCTGTACTGTACTCTGTACCTCACGATGACACCATTGACAAGTGTACATGGAGATAGGCCACTCCACTGGACTGAGATGACTGTGGAGCTAAGAGATCTGGCTGTGACTCTGACGGGAACTGCTGCACTTCCTGCAAGCAAAAAGACACACGTGGCTAACTCGCTAACCACATCTTGCTTACTTCTCTGAGGTGTAGTAAATGTGGTAGCTTCACTTTCCGTGGTTTCTCCCCAAACTATACCACATGAGTGACTAAGTATGTGGTGTATGCTCTCAATGAGGAGGTCTCATTTGATCCGGAGACATGAAAGTTCTGAGAGGCGGTTGGAGTGATGACTTTAGGAGAGGGTATACTTAGCTCGCGCCATTGCCGGTTGCCCGAGGTGCATTTTTACCGCAATCTCTGACCGGGCATAGGGCCAGGGAACAGCATCACCCGGACAAGGCGGTTCGCTACAGAAGACTGCAGGAAATTCACACGCGATATTTGCCTACTGCACAAGTAAGGTAAATGGGGGTAACTCCGGACATGGGGCCACCAGCCTCGAAATTCAATTCGCTGCGCAAAAACGCGAGAAAGATTTGTTAGCGCTTTGGTAGGTAGTAATCAAGTGAAATATAGTATGCGAATCTTTCTCTTGTTTCTGAATAGCGAGTTATTTCCGTGTTTTACCAAGTGTCGGAAGTTATCCCCTTTACTTTATAGTTGCTCTTACAGTATTATCTAGTGAGCACGCGGATCACTAGCGTTCTGCGAAAACCGATAATAGTCGGGTGAAGACGGCTTAGAGACAACAAAATATCATATGGTACTGGGTAAACTACGTTTTACACTGGCTGAAAGTAGGCGGGGCCGCTGGGCGCTCCTCGCACTGCTAGCGTGCGCGTCTGGCTCGAGCTGTAGCTAGGGCCCTGTAGTCATGCACCGCTTTCTACTAGAAGACGAGTATCTGGTTTTTCGTGAGAAAGAACCTCTCCAGAAGCTCCGTTTGCCTTCCGCACGCACGGCGTCTCTCTCGAATTGAAGGCGTGGTTGCCATGGGCAATACGCGTAAGAAAAGTTCCGCGAAGAGGTAACTAACAAAACAACATAGTTAGCTACCTCTAAACTCGAAATATTATAATTATGATTGGTCAATTTGCGTGTTACCGTAGTCTAAGCATGCGTACCAAGTTTCATCTCAATGTGTGCTACCGTTAGCAAGTTTGAGGAGAAGTGCCTGAGGCTATTTGTTGTTGTTCAAAGTAGTCATGGAAACATGTAGGTGTCATGGGCGATATGCATGCGTGCCAAGTTTCATCTCTATACATGCTACCATTAGAAACTTTGAGAAGTGAAGAAGTAATATAAAGCAATGTGCCTTAGGCTATTTGTTGTTGTTTCCAAACATGTATTGTGATGTTGGTGATTGAATAAACATTATGCCTACTAAGTTTCGTTCTCATAGCTCTCTTACCATTTGTGAGTTATATACACTGACACATGTGATCCATTATAATGTATTGCCTGGGCCTATTTGTTGTTGTTTACAGTAAACAATGATGTTTACAAACAAAAAGTGACACCAGTCTCTTCAAGTGGCAAACACCCTAATTTTTACTTGATGCGTTCACATATGTTGTTTCGTTCTTGAGTTATGGGTGTTGAATCTGAAGAAGAAGAAGAAGATGAACAAACTCCCTAATATAGCTAGCCCCATACATCTTTGATGCTGGGTACCATACCCATCCCTATATACTAAGTACTACCGTACTTAGTGATGATGTTCCAAAGTGCTAAGGGAAAGAAGTTTGCAGTAAACGAACTGCATCACATTTGACAAGTGGAAAAATCATTTCTTCAAAATGAAGGGGATATAGGGATGGCTTGAAGCACCAAAAAGGAAGAAACAAGGGGTCATTACACAGCTAAGATGCACAAAGCTACATGGCACCATCACTATATCTTTGTTCGATATTAAAGTTAGTTTTCCTTATGAACAATAAAACAAAGATATAGGGATGGTGTCATGTAGCTTTGTGCATCTTAGCTGTGTAATGACCCCTTGTTTCTTCCTTTTTGGTGCTTCAAGCCATATCCCTATATCCCCCTTCATTTTGAAGAAATTATTTTTCCACTTGTTTCCACAATTTTTAACAGCTTATGACAACACTGCATTTTATTGTTACAGTCACTCTGATGTTCATAGGTATGTTGTAGATAGGTTACCAAGGACAAACTCTAATTGTTGAAAGCTGTAGCTAATGGGCTGCTAGTGCCTGAAGCAGGAGCTAGCTAGATACAATATTCACCTCAGGTATTGTCTTCAACAAGGATGTAATTAGGTTATGGCACACGGTTGTGGTTTCAGGCAGGCTTTGGTAATCAGGGCTACAACCTAGGGGGGACAAATGAAGGCCCCTTTTTTGCACCTGTCAATGCTCGCGTAACACCGCGCTGACTCTGCCAACCGTGTAAATCAACAGCAAAACGCAAGCTAGCCAGTTGGAAATGTGCACACTGACTTACAGAAGGCACTGGAGGCTAAGAGTTCCTCTGCAGGTCTGTCAACTCGCCTGGTAACAATACGCGCGCACAGCTAGCGCATTCGACAACGCCTCTGCATAGCGCATGCGCGCGGCTTACAAATGGCGTTGTTCAGTGTCGACCATGGAAGAGCTCCATGATCTACCGTAGTGACTTACGGCAAGAAAGAAAAGATCGCTTGCTGTCCGTGCACACCTCCGACGAAATTGGAGACGTTCAGTGAAAAAATCTGCGCTTCAACTGGTTCTGGTAAGGAGATAGCGGGATTGAAGAAGAAGAAGAATACTATGATGATGATGACACGAAAATCGTGAAGTCGCGTATGAGCGAAGTCTCGCGTGGAGAACTGAAGGTGCGTATGAGGTATTTGGGAACATGTATACGTAGATATGGGCCAGTAGACTATTGCTAGTGTGTTTTGAAGGCCTAGGGAGTCATTCTCAACGAGTTTTAGGCGTTTTGTACGCGGATCACGTGAGATTTCACTCGTGCCATCCCTATATAGAGCGTCTACCGACGCTCTAATGACTCACTTTTGAACCTTGTACCAACCTCCATGCTTTTATATTATTATTATTATTATTATTATTATTATTATTATGCTTTACAGTAGCTACATGAAAAATAAAATGAGAACAGTGAAAGTGGAAAGGATGGAGGCATTAGAGATGACATGTACTGAAGGTACACCAGATAGATGCTGATGTCCTAGGAGGTAGAATAACTAGTAGCTAACTATGGACAAACACAAACACTTAGCACATGGCATATATACATAATGGAAAGAACAGGGGTCAGAACAGAGAGAGCAAGAGTTAAACTTGGTCCAGAAACCTTGGTGAAGGTGACTTTTGATGGTATTAATGGAAAGGTCGAGATTGATTGGCGGAAGAGAGTTCCAGAGTCATGGAAGTCGGTTGAAATAATGATGAGCAGAGGCGTTAGACTTTGATAGTGAAAGAGTTAGTTTTTGATGGGTGTAGGACCGAGTGATTCCTTTAGAGAACTGGACGTAGGAGAGGATTGAAAAGGCATTTTAAGTATCGGGATTCTTGAGGCAGCGAATAAAGAACAAGACATCATAGAGTTCAAGTTGCATCATCAGGGGTAGTATATAGATTGAGGGACAAAAGACGATGTATAAAGTCAGAGTGAAAGTCATTCAGAATGTATTTAGTTGCACATCACTGGACACGTTCTAGTGCCAAGATGTCTTTGATGAGATGGGGCCTCTAGATCTGCGAGGCATAGGTGAGCTGAGAACGAATTAGCGTGATGTACAGGTTCTTTTTAGCAGAGATGTGCAATCCTGAGGAGAAAGTGCGCTGGATAAGGCCTAAAATCTTGTAAGCTCGAGAGGAAATAAACATCAGGTGGTTGCTCCACTTCAGATCGCTATAGACATTAAAATACCGAGATCACAATGGCAGTTAATATATAGCTTGGACAGGTGAACCATTGATGATGTAGTTAAAGTGAATTGGGGGAAGTTTGGAGCAGAATCTGAGTAGGACGCATTTTGATGCATTGAAATGTAGGTTCCATTGAAGACTCCAAGAAGAAAGGCGTTGAAGATCTTCTTGAAGAGAGTGACAGTCAGATAAGGAAGATACTTTCTTGAGGCATTTAGTATCATCGGCAGATTACAGGGGCGTAGCTAGCATTGAGGCAGAGGAGGCAGTTGCCTCCTCTGTTTTTGCCGACTTATGAATAATTTATTACAA